CACAGCTGATTAAGACCTGAAAATTCTTTGCCATATCGACACACCGAAGGGCTAGAACCCAAATGGCCGCTGGATCAGAAAAGTAAAGTAAAGTAAAGTAAGTAAGAAATGTTACGTCAAAGATTTTGAGTTTCATGTCATGTCAAGCCTTTTCAAATGCAATTCTTTGAATATCTTGATAACGACTCCGAATAATTTTACGATTTTGGTAGAGCAGATAGAACATTTGGTTTCTGATCTGTCGGTCTTCCTTTATTCAAAATAGCTGTAAAAGTCAGATAGAACTTTGTAATCCGGAGGTAACGCATAGTCGACTGTATTTCAGAAGAGTGAGGAAAGACGAACATACTTGGTTTTCCTGTAGGCCGCTTCTGTTGGCTCAATGGCGCTATTAAGTCCTCCGACGACCAACTGTTATTCGGCTGGCGCATTATGTGTCACGGCGAACGATTCGAATTGCTTATCGATCGGTAGCCAATCACACCACGGTTAACAGCACCCGCTCGGGCTGAAGTTCGCGTCCCTTGCAACGGGGGTCAAAGTTGAAAACTCGCGGATGTCTCCATGTGTGATAGCGATTCGCCTACTGAACTGGTGTGTCACAGAATGTGTCCTTAGGAACTGTCGCGGCGGGGGGCAACACGTACAGTGTGCTGTGGGACTGTGTGCTTGCTTGTCTCTTGTCTCTTGTCTCTTGAATCAGTGCTGCTGCGCTCTACGTCTTAGGTTTTTGTTTTCTACAGTCGTGTTGAAACAGTGTCGAATTCCCAGCGTGGTGACAGAGAGCCATTGTTTCACCTTATCTAAACGTTTGTTCTACTCGCGCAAATCCTGGGGGAGGCCTTGTTGTCCCTGCTCTGGGTTACGTCGTAAGACTCTTATTTGATTAGCGGATTTGCCGCTTGTGTTTTCTTGCGTCGTTTGTGTTGTAGTTGTCGTTGGAAAAGGCGACCGCTCTCTTGTCTCACAGAGGTGGACTTGGCGCCGGAGAAATTTGAGATTCTGACGGGATTAGCGGTGGCCCAAGTCTTCTCCTAGTCTGTGAGTAAAAGCCACGGCAAGAGGGAAGAAGTTTCTCATTAGATCGACGTTGAGGTGCTTAACTAATGTGTATTCAATAGTAATAAGGAGCCTTTTTTCCCTCATTCTTGTGTATTTTCTAGACGGAAGCACTTGATGTGTTTTCTCTGAGTGTGATCTTATTCCAGAGGTTACGGTAATAGCCTACTTTATTTGATAATAGTTAAAAAAGTTCTCAATCACTCTGTGTATCTCAAATTTTTAAAGAAAGTAAATCAAATGTCAAGTTTTCTGTTACCAGTTATAATAATAAAGTCTTCTCTACCCTCCTATCCCCCAGTATCGCCATCTACATCATTTCCATTATCATTAGGTTGAAAGCAGAATAATTCAAGTCCTCGAGTGTTTATTTCGCAACCCCGGAGTGAATGCATCGACAGATCGTCTGCCTAAGGTACATACCGGTGACTACCCGCAAAAAACCTTCACTGACAACAACAACAGCATCAACAACAACAACAACAACAACAACAACAACAACAACAACAACAACAACAACAACAACAACAACAAAGTCTTTCATAATTTCTGCTTGTATGAAGCAGGGAAGTCTCTCAGTGTCTCGGTGCTGTCTATAACAAGACAGGATATAATCCACCATTTCGGTGCAGTCGTAAACAAGGTGGGATATACCCCAACATTTCGGTGCTATCTGTTCGGATCCGGTGGTTAAAGAACCTGGAAGTATCCAGCGTGACGTCACCATGTTTGTCGTGATCAAGTTCGGCAACAACGAAAGTCTGCTGGTCAACCCCAGCTGTGCGGTGATCAACTTACTGACCAGCATCAAGAGACGGGCAGGCTTTGGGGGGACCAACAAGACCATTGACCTGTCGGATGAAAACGGTAGGTTGTTGTTGTTGTTGTTGTTGTTGTTGTTGTTGTTGTTGTTGTGTGTGTGTGTGTTTGGGGGAACCAACAAGACTATTGACCTGTCGGATGAGAATGGTGAGCTAATGTGTGTGTGTGTATGTATGTGTGTGTGTGTGTATGTGTGTGTGTGTGTATGTGTGTGTGTGTGTGATTGTGTGTGTGTGTGTGTGTATGTGTGTATGTGCGTATGTGTGTGAGTGTGTGCTTCTGTGTGTGTGTTTGTGTGTGTGTGTGTGTGTGTGTGTGTGTGTGTGTGTAAATGTGTTTTTGTATGTGTGTATGTGAATGTATGTGTGTCTGTCTGTCTGTCTGTCTGTCTTTGACGAATGTGTTAGACGAATCTTCTCGTAGAATCTCCTGTCTCCCTTTCCCCCTGACTATCACAAAACAAAAGGTTCAGTAACCTTCCACATCTCGCCAGACTCCTCACCGACACTCTAAGCCACAAAGTTATCATTGCACACCACAAAGTTAGCATTGCACACAGATCAACACCCACAAAGTTATCATTGCACACAGATCAACATCAAGGGACACCCACAAAGTTATCATTGCACACAGAACAACACCCACAAAGTTATCTTTGCACACAGAACAACACCCACAAAGTTATCATTGCACACAGAACAACACCCACAAAGTTATCATTGCACACAGAACAACACCCACAAAGTTATCATTGCACACAGAACAA